GATTGTAAGTTAGACTGAGGCCTCTGAATATAAAAAAAACACTATGTTAATCTGCCTCTTCGTACTCCCGTACATTCATCGTCCTTCTTCAATAAATCATTTTCTGTTACAGCTGTACGCTTGTAAAACGTTTCTACATATTTGATGTGCTCAATCCCTTTATTCCTTCAAAAACATTGTTAATTCCCATCATACTTTCGTATCTTCTTGAATCTATCCTGCTTTCCTGAACTATCATCACCTTGGGCTTTTATTTTTATTTTATTCTCCGTACTAGCCATTCGTTGTGAACAATTCTTTGCCTAATGAGGTTGTCTGGAAGAAATCGCTTCCAGAGCGATAAGACCGCCTATTGTACTTTCACTTACTTTTTTTTTAATTTTGTTTTTGTTTAAATTTGTATTGGTGTAAAATAAAGAATTTATTGATTGATTGAAAACCGTATCACAATATTTTACACTATTATAATAACTTTCATTCTAAAATATATACAATCCATAATAATCATTATATTGTTTTAAGTTCATCATGACCACCATGAAAGTTGGTATACCAATTTTTAACCTCATATTGGCACTAATGTAGGATTTAAAAAAAAATCGTATTTCATTGTTTTAATCTATAATTAATTTTACCAATTATCTAGTTACAAAAATCATATAATAATATTTAACCATTTATATATGAAGTACCCCCGTAAAAAAAAAGTGTCGTACAAATTGTAACATTTTGTTTCACCTTCTAAGGTTTGATTTTTCTACCTTTTTTAGTAGATGCCTACGTAATAAAAGGAACATTTATTATTTTAATTCAAGAGAATATTCATCAATTTTCAAAATGAAAAATACGTTAACTGATTTATCTCCATACAAATTTGATCACCTTATGGCCTCCCGTAAGAAGTTATTTTGAAAAATCTCAAAATACGTTTTTTATTTATTTTATTTACTGAGTATTTTCAGTAATTCTCGAGTGTATCTAAAATGTAGTGTATGTAAAATAAAAAGCTTCATAAAAACTATAATATCCTATTTTGCTCTCTTATGGGTATATTTTTCCAAAATTGTTTCTTAGTGGAAGCCTACGTTTAAAAGGCAGTTACTGCGTCTTTATACAATATTTTTCATACAAACTGCAAACTGCACCCTCGTTTTAAGACCCTAAGGGTAGGAAAATGTGAATTTTCTGATTTTATATATATTTTAATTTGCTTATAATTAATGGATTTTTTATTTGAAAATTGGTGAGTATATATATATATATGCACCAATTTTAAAAATTAAAAAAATTATAAATTTTTTTCCATACAAATTTGAGGACAGAATTTCGAACACGAAACAATTGATCCCTTAGCAACGATCAATAAGGTCATATCGATAAGGTCATCCACATTTTATGTTATAAAAAAGGCTAATTACTATAACATAGCGGTGTTGAATTTTTCTTATAGTCATCGACTACAAGAAAAATCTGTCACGTTATATGCGTGCATAGATAGCCAGCCACCCGAGTCACCTTATGGTATGGGTCGGAATGAATACCAGTGCTATCACTGACATCAACCCATTTCGCAGTTTTATCCTGCAGGACAGTATTTTTAAAAAAAAAACTATATTTTTTTATATTTAAAATGTAATAGATCGGGGAAAAAGTTTCTTCGTATTTTATTTGTATAAAATTAAAGAAAAATCTCTTTGGTTGTACTATTTTTATCTGGCTGGTTTTTATATCAATACATAAAGGACATTAATAAAATCCAGCCATTTTCCAATTATTTTTAAGTGAGTGAATCTAACGAAGAAATTCTAATTCTAAAATTTTATTACAAACAAGTGAATAATGCGACTCAAGCCGTGAAAAATTTATGACGTTTATGGATCTAACACCGTGTCAGTAAGAGTAGCACAAACTTAGTTCAAGCGTTTTCAGTCCGGGACTTTTGGTGGTGTCAAAGATGTAAATCGCTCTGATCGGCCTCATACGGATAAAGTCAATGCCAATTATAAAAAAGTGGAGCAACATCGTCATTTTAGTAGTTACGACATAGCCGAGAAATTGAGGGTTGACCACAAAGCTCGATATTTGAGTACCACACGAGCTCACTGAAAGAAACTTAATGAATCGTGTACTCGTGAAACGTAATGAAACCGATCCATTTTTGAAAAGATTGATCACTGGTGATAAAAAATGGATCACGTACGACAAGAACGTGTGAATAAGATCATTGTCAAAGGGTAGTCCACAGACTGTAGCGAAACCCAGAGTAACACGCAATAAGGCAATGCTGTGTGTACGGTGAGATTGGAAGGGCATTGTTTATTAACACTTACCGCCCGGCAAAACCAAAGATTCGGATCTCTACTGCCAAAAACTAATGAGACCGAAGCAAGAAATTGAGAAAAAACGGCCGGAATCGATCAAGAGAAAAGGAGTGGTCTTTCATCATGATAACGCCAGACCACACACTTCTTTGGCCACTCAGCAAAAATTGAAAGAGCTTGGTTGGGAAGTGTTAATGCATCCACCATATAGTCTTGACTTTGCACCCTCAGATATTCACCTGTTTTAGTCTCTTCATAATTCTTTGGGTAGTGTTAGGTTAACATCAAAAGAGGACTGTCAAACTACTTGTCGCATTCTTTTGATCAAAAATCCCAAGATTTCTACAGCAACGGGAGTATGTCACAATCTACCAAATGGCAACAAGTAATCGAAAATAATACATATATTATAATTAAATGCAATTAAACTTTAAAAATTTTTTTTTGAATTTTAGGTATATAAAATACAAAGAAAACTTTTTCTATTATTATTTTTCTATTTAAATTATTTAAGCTCGCGGCCTTGCATTGCCACCGCATATCGCTCAGCCGCTACGCTTTTCAGCTGAAAAATATTCCATACTCATAATATACGCTCACACATATATAATTATTAAAAGTTGTGTCGATTGATCGTTTGTGCGCGGATTAAGATAAAACGCCACTCCTTCACCTTCTTATGCAGGTGTCGTAAGAGGGGACTTGCTTGGGAGGGGAAATGCTCATGTAATTTTGCGGCCTCCGACAGATTTCAGTATAAGCATCTTGTACCAAAACCAACAAACCCAGATCAGTAACGAGAAGCCAGTCGCTACTGTGAAAAGCCGTGCCTAAAATTGTTAATTTAATTTTCAAGTTCTAGCGGTGAAAAAACATCGTAAGGAAATTAGCAGGTCTAAAAAAATAGAAAATATGACATCAACCCTACACATAGCGAAATGAGCAGTATGACGACCTCTTGTTTTGCTTGATACCTCAAAAATGAGATCCTGTGCCTAAATACTGAGACTTTTAAGGGTGCTCTATAAGAGGGAACATAATCGTAGTTTACTAAATTATTGGAGAATTTAACATGCTGTGTGAGTGTTCCATGTTAGGTAGCGCAGAACTGAAAGGAGAAAAGATTGTCGAGCAATAAAATTATCATATTTGTCAAATAAAAATATTTTCCAGGATCTGTTCGCGCTGCTACATTTTATTGATTTTTAAAATTACAAGGCACGTTCATTAAAAAGTTTAGCCGATTAAATACAAACAGAAACGTAAAGAGAAACGAAGTTTAAAATGTGATCTTTTCATTTCAACATTTTATATTTTAAATTAGGTAAGGAAATATCTCTGAACTCTTTAAAATTTAAAAATATTTTACAACTTTCTTGCTGGTTTTATAAAACTCGGTGGAAAATAAAATGAGCACGCTATGTAAAATGAAACTAAAGCCGAAGCAGCGGCATTCTCTTTTTATTAATTCAATAAAAATATATTGCACTGCATTTGATACTTAAAAGGTATTTAATTTTAGTATTTTTTTTAAATGGAAATCCCTGGCTGTATTTACTGATCGATAGAGTTTCTGGGAAGGAATTCTCTGCCTTTGAATTTATTTCCTTAAATAAAAGTAAGCTCAATAATAAAGGTCCTTCCTAGAAATGTTTGAAACGAGACGTCTTACATTTTTATAAAATGATTTTCGCATCTGTATTTCTGTAAATAAAAAAATATATACTCGTATAATAAACATATCTAATATTTGCATTTATCATTGACTTAATTCATCAATCAAGAGAGTGGTTGTAAATTTAAATTGAGTTTCATTGTAGCTATTGAAACAACGTATAAGCAATATTGTCTTAAAAGGAGACTGGTTATTTTAGATGTGTTTAGTAGTGTTATTTACTAATTTGCAATTTTAATTAGCTTCTTTATGTATTGTATACTACATAAGTGTTGTGATATTCCTTTTTCTTCATCCTCAGCCCGCGACAGATTGCTACCGTACACGGGCTCTTACTGTAGAAATGATATGGCGTAATGGCTACACTTGTCAGTGATGATCGCAGTGCAGTGTTTGATTTCATCATCATTACATTCTATCACAAGTTCACTGCTGATCATAGCCAGTGTTTCATATCACTCAATTTTCATGCTGTTCCCAGTCGTCAGTGTTTACCTCATTCTATCGTAGGCCTTTCTTATAGTTGTCCCTTACGATAGGAAGAAAATATAATGATAACAAATATATTAGATTTCCACATAGGTTTAGGACTAGCTTCATGCTTTTAATTTAATAGAATTGCTATCATGGAATAACTTATCTCTATCCCTAATATTTCATCAAAAACGTACACTGTGAAAGTGTGAACATTATCTTAGAGATAATGGAACTAGTAAAATAATATCAATTTTTCTTCATTGTATGCCATTTGTTAACATGCGGGAATAATACGGCAGGATAAACATTCTTTTATATATATAACAATAACTTGTATTACTCATCTGTCAACAGGTTTTGCTATAACAAAACAAAAGAAATCCAGCTTTGATTCAATCGCGCAAAAACAGATCAGTCAAGTTATGTCTGCCTATAACAGCATCGCAGAGGTGACGGTTCAGGGCGAACTCGACTTTGTTATTTGAGAAACAAAGACCCTTTTGAAAGGTACAATTAAGAAGGAAACCATGCTAAAAGAGCGAGAGAGTTTGGATGGGTCGCCCGCTACCCCAGATGAATGTGCCGGCTGCGGGGGGAAGATACAGGACAGGTGAGATGATCTCTTCCATATAACCGATGTAAACATGGCGCAGAAATGCACTGAGGGACATCAACAGTTAATTGAAATGCAGCAATAAATTGATATGAACTGTCGAGCCCGCATAGAAATGGAAACAACATTAAAGGTTTTATTAATGCAGTCACTGCATGTAGAGGCGCCGTTATACGCATGCTTACATCTTTTTATTACACTAGTAGTGGCATAATTGTTTTGACCACAACATTTGATACGTGTCTGAAATACATTTTGAAAGTTCAGCTTTAATTCCTCTAAGGGTTTAAAAAATTCTCTTAACGTAATTTACTGAAAGAATACAAAAATAGTTTTTTCTCACTCTTACGTGTCTAAATAAAACGAACAACTAGTAAGAGTTTAATTTTAACTAATTTTGCGCAAAAAAACAATTATTAATATTAAAAATAAAAAATTAAAATAAACTCTATTACACCTGTCACTCAGTGGGGTATGCAGAGACTAGGGACTTCCATTTGTCACGATCCTGATACACCTCCCTGACTTCACTGAAAATCTATACGTTTAAAATAACCCATTACTTTAGCATTTATCTCTCATGCTTCTTCTAAGCCAGTCAACGTTCTCTACAATACAATAATAAAGGAACTAACACAGCATTTAGAATTGCCATCCTTATTACTAAATACTTGACTACCTCGTTGGTCTAGTGGTTGTAGTGGTGCGACTGCTGATCACGAGATCCCATAATCGCATCCCGGGTCGGGCAAAAAACTCATTTATTGAGCATTTCCATCAGGAAACTCTCCGTAGCTGCCCGGAGTCAGGAAGCTCGCGGTGTGCCTCGTGCTTCGGAAAGCGTGTAAAGCCGTTGGTCCTGCGCCTGATCTCTCTCCGGTCGTGTCGGTTTACCGTCCCATCGGACTATGAGTGCGAGAGAATAGAGAGTGCACCTGTGCCTGCGCACACACTTGGGCACTATAATCCTGTCATGCACCGATGGCTAGTCTCTGTTGAGGCTGGCCGCCGTGACCGAAATTCGGTCTGGAGGACATTATTATTACTTAATAAGACATTATCATTGGTTGGTTACAACTGCTTTTAGGATTGCTTTGTAGATCAAATTTTGTTGTTCACAAGCAGTTTTGAACTCTTATAGCAGGCAATACAACTGTTTGTATTCATGTTACATTCATCTTGTTTAGACTAGATGTGTTTGCTTTAATTTATTTTTTAAATATATTTTTAGATATTACCTGCTGGCAGTAGACCGCCAGTGGCACGGCTCTTGCCTACGCTGCTGTGAGTGTCGATTGCCACTTGACTCGGAATTGACTTGCTTTTCTCGAGATGGAAATATTTACTGCAAAGAAGACTACTATAGGTGAACATATACACATACATATATACCGATCACACGTTTTTATGTCTATATATATACATATATGTTTACTTAATTTTAAATTAAGTTAGATGCTAGCTGATTTCATTATTAGCTAATGCGAAGAGTTTGCTAGCGAAAATAAATTGTAATTTGCGAATGTGTGTGTCTTTTGTTTTTCAAGTAGCTTTGCGTTATTGAAATTTTAATATAATCAATTAGGTTAAGGTATAAAAATACACAACTTGCTTTTATTGTTTTCATCATTTTTAGATGCGTTGTAAGCACGGAAAATATTTACGCACATAAAAACAGTGTCGTAAAGAGTATACGTTAATTGCACGAAAAGTCAGTCAGTGGACATGTCAAGTGTCAACATGGCTGTACAATTAAAGCGGGCGTCGTTCCGTCCGTCACTCACCATCCAATACACTTGCGCGACTCTCACGCCTGTCGAACGCACTAAATACATTATGCATCTGTTTTGTATCACAAAACCGAAATTTAAAAAAAATATATTCGCTATTATTTTAAGAACATATTTTTTGTCACATTATAATTATTAGATTTAGAATACCTGTGGAATTGTCACATGTTCAAAAGACAGTACTGTAAATAATACAGTACAGAGTAAGGAATTTATAATAGAAAGAAAAGTAAAATTAAAACAAGGATCCTATTAAATACTACGGGATGTTAACTTCGTTGGAGGTTTTGGAGTAGAAAGATTCCGTCGCTCTGGTCGAATTCCAATTCGCGAGAAAATCTCTTATGGTATTTTCCTTCGTCACAGATACACATAAAATAAGCGACTAAATTGTGATTGACAATTTAGCAGCGAATCTAAGGCATATATCTTTTAATGATAGTATTTATCAATATTAAAAATTAAGCTAGTGATTTCATACGATTAGCTTATTTGAGATAATAACCGAGGGTCAAATCTGACATAAGTTGATAAATATTTTGGATAGGTGGGGTTGTTTATATGAGGCATATGGCGTAATTGTTACATCGTCACGGTAATATTATGAATTGGTTGACGTTGGGGTATGTCAAGTGGTCTGTTTTCATACAAATAATTTTTCAATTTTTATGTATCGATCGGTAACAAATAATAGCCGTTCATTTAAAATTTCAGCCTAACCAAACCTAGAAGGAAATTATAAAAATTGCAGTCAATCGGTATTTTTATGATCATTCATTATTTGCGGCTTATTTATTCGTTGCTTTCATGTTCATTTTGTTACACCAGGCAAGTATTATAACAGGCTTTTTTGTATCTGCCTTATAAATGTTATCTAAACGTAAATTTTTTTTCATGAATTTATTTATTCAAAAAGGATTCTGCAAAGAATAGTAACTTAAAATTACTAAATAAGTTTTTCGTGTGTTGTGGTATCTTTCATAAATAAATACGATAACGTGAAAGAGAAATTATGAGCGGGCCAATTTATTCCCTTTGTGCAGCATTATATTTTAAACGTGAACTGAATAACAACTACTTGAATTGAACTCTTATATTGAATACTAGCGATACTAGCTTCGCACAGTGTTGATTTCTAGGTCTCGACAACAACGCCACCTACCGGGTCCAATTGTGAATCGAAACCATTCTCTAATCAACTTAATCACACACAAAATTTCATCAAATTCGATCAAGCCGTTTAGGAAGAGTTCAATCACATACGCACGGTCAGAAGAATTATATGATATATAACATACATGTATTGTACATATTAACCTTCCTTTTCAATCATTCTGTCTGTTGATGAAATTCGCATCAAAATTAGTTGCGTAGGGTAAAAGATCTAAGCGTAAAACCACATGAAGCGACTTTGTTTTATTCTATGTAGAGATATTCAAAATAAAATAATTATAACAGTTTATTATCACAAAGAACACGGTAACAATAACCACGAAATTAATTGCAAGAATAAACATGCGTGAGTGTCGTGGAACACTCGGTTGGAACGAAGTTGCTTTCGTAGTACATTATTATTGATAAACGTATTAAATTATCAATTAACAAATACAAACAAATGAACTACTAGCGTCTATTTAATAATATTTCTTTCATGGCAAGATAAGTAAAAGTGCGATGGAGATGGATTACGCCAGTATATTCTAAGTCTATGGAGATGAATATTATTCCATCTCGCTCGCACTATACAATGGGGGTTATGACGGAAAAAACTTACACTTTTTCTCGCCTAGCCCCCATCCGCAAAATTCGTACTGTGTGATAAGGAACTTCGTTCCAAAAATCAATAAGTATTATTATATTTTACAGACAAACAAAACGTGGTTAACACTCTACGCGCCGTCCTAAGTAACACACCTTCTTTCAGAATGTTCTGCGTGAAGCGTTGCGCCCGCTGTGGAAACGGTATCACGGCTAATGAGCTGGTAATGAGAGCCCGCGATATGGTCTACCACCTCACATGCTTCACCTGCGTCGCGTGTGGTTCGTTGTTATCCAAAGGCGACGTGTTTGGGATGAGAGACGGGCTTGTTTACTGTAGACCACATTACGACAGCGCCTGTATGGATGATTATTGTGAGAATGATGTGAACAGTGTCTATCGGTGAGACTTTTTATATTTAATTTTATTTATGGCATACATGAATTACAATAATTTATAAAATCAAATTTAAATTATACATACATCTAATAATTGTATTTTAATATTTATATTTTTAAATATAGTTATAATAAATACCTTTGTAAATTTCTGAATTTTTATATAATTTTGTTTATTATTTTATCGATAACGATCGCTTTAGACTATTTTGCAAATTTTGAATACTGTGCCAATATAGCAAGGAAAACACAGTTAATGAAAACCGTTGAAACTCGCTGTGTCAAGGGCTTCATGTAACGAACCGACCTAAGGAAAAGAAAGATCTTTTAATTGATGTTTTGACTTCGCTTGTTGGTTATTAAACATCAACCGTTCACTTGTAGCTTTTGATCGATAACTTTAAAAAAAAAAATAGAATTTTTAGGTCAAACTAGACGGAATCACATGTAAGCAATAGTTGTTTGCCCGAAATTCCTATTTATCGTTACCGTTACAGCTTACTAAAGTCCACTGCTCAATATAGGCCTCTCCCACAGATTGCCTAATGTCCCCCATATTTGCCATAGTTGTCACGCTTGGAAAGTGGGCTGGTAATAGCAGTTTTTTATTTTTTGCCATTATTAGAAAAACGTTGCCCATTCCTGATTTGTTTCGCTCTGTTTTACGACACCCACGGGATGATAAGAGGTAGTGGTGGATATTCTTACACCGACACTACACTGTAAAACTCAAAAGAAAACACACATCAGAAATATTTTATTTAAATGTAAATATATCATTAATTAATATGTTAGGTACGTAACATTTTGGTGCTGACAATAAAATAAACAGATATGTATTTAGTGAAATTAGTATTTTGTTATAATATTTGTGGATTCAAACTTAATGAAGCCTTATCCTATACTGAACCATTCTAAATATTTATTACAACTCAAACTTACTTAAAATCAAGCACAAATTTAAAATGTGCAAGATTATACTCTATTGTAATTTACTTAATATGCAGTAAAAGGCATTTTTATTACCTTAATTACGCAACTTAGTTTCTGTTATCTCTTTATGGTAGCTAGCTTAACATTTAGTTACCATCTGTATTATTATTTGGTAAATATTAATACTGCTTAATGCATTTGAACAACTTTTTTTCCTAATCTAAGCAGTATACATATATCTCAATATAAATTCGCAAAAAATGGTTGACAAAAATCAATAGATATTTTTAATACATGTATTAAAATGTTTAATATATGTTACATTTTTTAATATCTTTTGTTTATAGTTGTGCAAACGTTATTATTTAGGTAAATACCACATTATTATTAAATCAATTACTAGCTGAATCAAAATCACAGCACTGCATTCAATTTTGCTATTGATATTATCGGAAACCACTTGATCTCAACTTGTGTCGATGACAGCCTGTACTTATCACTTTACTCTCGACACGTCAAGGTCAAGCAATTTTGTGTTATTAAAATGCCTCTATCAAAACTATATTGCACTTATATGATAATATGAGTAGTCGTATATCAAGAAAACACTCTCATTAACAATCTTATATTTTCTAAAAAATCATTTTATATTGCTACTTTGAAAAAGAAGGTTTGAAAAAAATTTTACGTGGATGTCCGGTTGAATGTCCATATTGTCCGGTCATACAAAAAGGTATATGGTCGTCACGATAACTCCCGAAAAAATTGACGTATTGAGACCTGGTACATTTATTAGCTTCAGAATTACTTCAACTAATTCCCTATTTCATATCAATAGCCTAGTACGCGTATTTTGTTAATAAAATGATTTTCAACTTTTATAAGTTTTATTGCTATTAAAAATTTAAAGGCGCTTTCATATTTTTTTAGCCCTTGATCGACAAAATGTACCATACAGCCTATATCGATTTATTTTGGTAAATATTATTGATTTTTTCCCTATAAGTGATACTGATTGTTAAAATAATAGAGCGCTAAATTTAATGCACGTAAATAATATATTTTAAAAGTCAGGAATACAATTTATTTTTTTCATTTAAATTATATGAAACGCTAATGAGGCGTGCACTTTTGGATTTCAAACTATCTTTATCTATCCTCAATTAAGATCAATGAAGATCAAGGTGGAATGGCTTGTAACCAGTTTAAAGGATCTTTAAATTATTATATTGTCTTCCATCTTTGATGTTTAAATAATAAATGTTAAGATTTGAAGCTCTTTTATTTCATATATCATATAAAATAGATTTTCACTTAAACAGGTGTCAAGAAATGCATAGTGAAAGTGATTCCTCCTCACAGTTCTACAACGGAGGACCAAGTCATAAAGGGCGACCTAGAAAGAGGAAACTAGGTTCTCATGAGGATTTGCAAGTTCAAACTATGAGAATGGCCAACACAGCACTTGGTGAGTTCAAAAACATAAAATTTCGTTAAAGCCTACGCAGCTATTAAAGCGAAATGCAATTATTTTCCTTACCGTGCGAATGTTAAATTAAAAATAAGCTCATCAATTTAATTAAACTGTGACTGTCACTTAATATTCACTCGACTGAAAAGGAGCTTATAAAAATCTCATTTATTTTCCCTAAGCTTTTGAAAAGAATTTCCGTCTCCCCCGTACCCGCTTTCCTTTGAGAGAATTTTCTCTGATGTTACGCCTACGAGCGTGATATAGAATACACATAGAGTATCTTCCGTTGTGCCACCTATTATTCGTGAAGGCGGCACGACTGTTTGAATTATACATATTTCATCGAACGCGACGGTCGCTTCAAATTTAGCAGAAACCTCAGAAGGGAAAGCGCGACGGGTTCCCCGCGCTGCGTCCCAGATGTCAATTCATCCCGGACCGACCGTAATCACGACTAATGAATAGGCGACGCATTGTCGAAATTGCTCTCGTCCCTTTCTCGCACAACGTAAGTTCATAAGGCTGAGCGGGAGGTGTGTAAGCAGGAGCGTTGGGTCTCTTACCGGGGTCGGTCGTCTGGATTATTCTTTATAGCGTCAAAATGCGAGGCACTCATTGAATTGGATTCAGGTTGTGCGACTCCTCGACCCGATTAATCATGGCGCTGGACTGAATGGACTACGGGACGACACTTCGTTATATATTCCAGTCAACAGGAGAGTTTAAAGGTTTGGAGTCACGTTAACAACAGTGATAGGCGCGGCGTCTGCGTTTCGCGTGCAGTACTAAATAACGATTACAATAGCAAAGTTAGGAATGCATATATTGAAGACTAGGAATTTATCTGACATTATTTGAGATAAGAATTTTTGTGATTGGTTAAGTGCAGACGAAGTAAATTTCATTAATATATTCTACTAATTACAATTACGGTTTTTTCACAGTTAATGAGAATGTTAAAAAAGAGAGTTAAAACATTTTTAAAATAGATATTTATATATTCATAATTCTTATGTAAATCAAAAATTATCCATCTTCCAAAACACCTAAAACAGCTTTAGCGTATGTTAAGAAATTCCAAATAATGTATTAAATAATTATTTAGATCGTTGAACAATGGAAGCAAAATGCGATTAGGTGGCTTCCCGCCAAGTGATTCTCTTTGTTGGCACAACAACGCCACTCGATCGTTGCGCGTGACGGTGATAATGCGAACTGAGGGTTCTTCAAATATTACGTGCCTTATCGGAAAGTGAAAAATCAATTCCTGAATAATATTATGCTTTTATTTAGCGTCAATAGAAAAATAAGTTTGAAATATTAAACAATTTTCAAAACTTTGAACACTACGAAGTGAAATAAATTCACTTTATGTTTATAATGATATTTCTGTAGCTCTTACAGCTGCGCAGGAAAGTATTGAAAATATGCTTATTTTAATACGAATTACTAGAACGGTTAATCTTTAACTTCAAGCAAAGAACAAGAAGAAAAGAAGAAGAAAGAAACATGGCTACTGGTACGCTGGTACATTTGAGCAGGGGTGGGTCAGGGGTTATTGCTTCGGGATATAGATTTTAGATGTCGGCAATTTTTAAAAGTAAGATAGAAAGTTTAGTAGAAAGAAAATCTGAAAATTGGTTACTGAATAAGTTTGAAGTTAAACTAAAACTGTAGCATTTAATGTTCTGAAAATAGTGATATCCAGCAAACACGCACATTTGCTGAGGGTAGGATTAAGTATAAAAGTACATTAATATTGCTTTAATAATTTTACAACTACATATATAAAAAGACTGTTACCAATTTTATATTAGTTGTGAGAAATATCGCAATACTTCAAGTAATCATAAATATAATACATTATAGCTCTATACCAGGATTACGGCGGTATTTTCTGCCTATTTCAAAAAGGAGGGGGTACTCTATTCGAATAGTATGTTCTTTTTTCTTTTTTATGCGTATTACCTCATAACTTTTTTCAAGGTGAACCGATATCCATGATTAGCAGCGTAAAATAGCAGCGTAACGCTGATGTGTTTTGTATAGTGAGTTTAGAGAACCGGAGACCCTTTTTACTGGAGAAGGGGCATCCCACCTTAGTACTCACGGGTGACAACGCATCTGCATTTTGATTTGTAATCGAGGATAGATGTAGATGTTTATGGGCCACAGCAACCACATACGATCAGGTGGACTGTGTGCTCGTTTGTCACCTTTATCCTATAAGAAAATATTTGAAAACTGATGCTTCTCATGTGGTCCCATATAAATTTGATCGAGGTGTGACCAATAGTTTTTGAGTTATCTTTAATAATTTATATTGAAGTCGGTTGTACAAAATTTTTAATTTTTAATTATTTCTCTAGCGGCCCTGGGTGGCAGCAACGCTTGCTGCATGGACTGTTCAATTACTGCTTCTGAGGGCTTAGATGTAATACATAACATATAATTACTTTACAATTTATTATTATACTGGTTGTCCTTACGCTTCAAAACTGCATAGGACTCATAATTGCGATTTTTATTCTTAATCGGGGATAGATTAGATTTTTATACGTAGTAGAGCCATGCTGCAGCTATATTAATAGTATAGTTGTAGCACGAATGGTTCGGCTCGACCGGGGAAGGACCACGCTCTCACAGAATACCAGCGTAAAATAGCAGCTTAATACTGCTGTGTTTCGTATGGTGAGTGTAGAGAACCAGAGATCCTTTTTTCTGGAAAAGAGGCATTCTATCTTAGCCCTCACGGCTGACAACGCATTTGCATTTTAATTCGCAAACGAAGATAGTTGGAGATGTCTATAAGCCACAGCTACCACTTACCATCAGGTGGACTGTGTGCTCGTTTGTCACCCTAGTTCTATAAAAAAAAAGAAGTAGGTGTCTATGAGCTTTTGTATCCATTTCAAATTGTCCATTGTCATTGTCATTGTTGAATATTAAATCAGAAAGGTAACTTAGTATTAAACCAACTTAATAGTCCGTTAAGCAATCTGACCATTTAGCTCATTATTTTGTGAAATACATCGACGTTGTTCCTAAAGTCGTTAATTACGTTAAAGGAAACATTATTCATTAATATAGACCTATACTATACAACAAAGAATTGAGTAATTTACATAAATATTTTAGTAGAAAATACTTTTAGTGTGAAATTAAATTAATTAAAAAGATGAAGGCAGTAACTTCAAAATATGCAAAGTGTTAGGTTGTATGAATGAGTGTAGAAAATAAAGGAAAATACAACGAAATGAAGATAGAGCTCGAAACTCCCAGTCGTTTAAGCAGCATAAAGTAGGCGCAGATAGCTTCATGTTGAATCAGCGATCTTAATATGTGTCGTGATTGTGTTGGTTGTGGTAATTCTTTTAGTGCCTTTTATCGTGGGGAAATCCTCATGGATACCTTCTACTGCGAAGGCAACAGAAAGGTTATGCTGGACTCCTACCGGCCAAAACCCCACGGTGGTCTCCATCAGCGTATATGAGGGGTCCCGGGATCTCCGTCCGGAACGCAACCGGGGAATTCTTTTAGTACCTACAAATATAGAAGATGATGAAAGGTTATTGAGAAGAGGCTGCCATGGGTCGTAACTTATTGGGTGGTTTCGCTGCTGGTTTGCATACTTCATTTGTTTTGGTGTTATTTTTGTATATCAAAGGGCGTTGTTATCTTGTATTTTCTTGTAACTGCTTACTGTAGTAATCCATTAATGTTTAACAGAAGTCATTACAAAAAATATTGTTTTTTTTTTTCAAATAATTTTGAGGGTAATTCCTAATAATCATATATTCATGAATCACATGACACAAGCTAAGTAACTGCTTGTGTCAAGGCGGTTATTTTGTTTTTTTATTATAAAAATAGCAATAAATTATTGCGATTTTATTTAATTTATCAAAAAAGTAACGTTCCAAATAGTTGAGATAGTTTTTATCTTAAATTTTAAATAACTTTCAACATCTATACTTCTATGACATAAGTAACGCAGTCAATGCATACAGTAGACCCCCCGGTTTACTTAGTAATTTATTAATTAGATCAACATTTCAAAACCAAAGGCAGATGTATGGCGGGGTCTTCACGCGGAACGACCGCCACAGAGGCCGCAACAGGGAATTTATTTTTAATTAATAAAATTAACCTAAAGAAAAAACAACGCGTGGTGTTCGAAATGAAATACCTTAGCTTATCTTATAAGCATCGGGGTCCGTCGTGAGCATACGGTAAAAAAACAGCCGTTTAGCGTTTGAAGCTATTTCTCACGAGCGGTACTATTCACACCTGCAGTAGTAGCAAACGCTTGAAGTGAGGTGAAACACAGGTTTTACTCGCCATTTGTCGTGCCGCAGGTGTGTAAACAAAACTAAGTAAAAGTAATATATTTTGTGATTGACGTATAAAATGTTTGTTTATGGTCGCTTGGCTTAGCGACTATTACCTGACCACCTGATTATTGAATTATGTGGCCTAGATTTGATTCCCAGTTGATCAATATGTCTGCCAATACACAAATTATTGTTTTCGGGGTCCGCATTTAAATATCGTATATAATATAATTGCTCAAAGCTCGGTCAAGAGTCTTTGCTTCAAATACTGACCGAAGCCAATATTTGCGCAAATTGTGTGTTGTTTATATTCGTCGTACTACTACAGTTGGGCTATGTCTGTTACTCTGGCTCTACTGCGGATATCCTCATTTTTAAGTCTATCACGCAGAGAAACCCCTAAGTATAGACTTCTCCATAGCTCGCTGAGCGACCTTGAGCTTCCTCCTACGGCCAACAGCGAAGGTCTCAGATCCATAAATCATCACTAGCAACACACACTGGTTGCACAATCTTGTTTGGAAGTTTTGAGGTATTTCGAAGTGAGTGACGAGAACATGGGTCGTAATCTCCCGAACGTTGCCCAGCCGAGTTGAATCCGTCGATTAACCTGAGTTGAGTTGAACTTACGTTGTTGGGACTATTTGTCACAGGTAAACT